GGTTGGAGGCGGCTTTGCCCGGCCCTCGCTCCCTCCCGGGAAGCAGCCCTCAAGGTAATTTTGGGTATTGACTTAAAAAACCTCGCCGTTTTACCGTTTCTTACTCTTTTTACGTGTAGCTTTCCTGCTCCCTGGGTGGAGCCCGTCAGCGGTAGGTTGTGCACCATCTCCGGTGACGTGTTTGCAATGAAAAAGCTGGCGCTGGGAAAGGAGACCCTGCACCAAGAAAGGTCCCTGAAAGTCCTTTCCCGTGAGGACAGAAGAGTTGTGGTTGTTATTATATAATGTGTATGTTAAATGTTGTCTCCAACCAGCCAGGTGCGCTCTTACAACCTGAAAAATGCCCGAGTAAATTCTGCCTTTCCCCCCCCCTCTCATAGCTGGTCTCCAAAATCCATCATGGATTATCTCTCCCAACCCGGGTTCCTCAGCGTCATCGCTGGAGTGGCGTGCGGAGTGTGCCTGGGATGGAGCGTTCGTGGGAGGCTTTTAAGGCCCAAAGCCGGAATGACTGTGGCTGCGACCAACCTGGGGACCAAAGCGAACATCATGGGGGAGTCCGGGGAGTTCAAGATGGTGCTGATTGTCCGCAGTGATTTGAAGATGGGAAAGGGGAAAGTGGTAGCACAGTGTGCCCATGCTGCTGTTTCTGCCTACAAGCAAGTTCAGAGAAAAAATCCTGAAATCCTGGAACAGTGGGACGACTGCGGGCAACCTAAAGTGGTCCTCAAAACTCCCGATGAAGAGAGTCTGCTCCAACTCCTGGTTGATGCCAAAAACCTGGGATTGACTGTGAGCTTAATACAAGATGCAGGTCGTACTCAGGTAGCTCCAGGCTCCCGGACAGTCCTGGGAATTGGACCGGGACCCGTTGATGTAGTAGATAAAGTTTCTGGTCACCTGAAACTCTTCTAAACCAGGGACCAAAGCAGCCTGAATGCCTTGGTATGTGTCTGTACTGAAGGAATAAAAGCCAAATTTGGGATTTTTCCATATGTTCTCTCAGTATAAGGTAACCTTTTGTTGTAAAAGATTTACATTTGCAAATTTTAATATTAATCACAGAACGGTTTGGGTTGGGACCTCAAAGATCATATAGTTCCACCTCTTCTGCCATACCATTCATGAATTTCCCTACCTTCTGTAGCGCGTTCTAAAGTGGGAAGGTCAATGCTGAGCTCCGTGGAGTTGAGGAGAAAGTAGAGCTGGCAGAATTTTACTACTCCTAAGAAGGATCCCAGCATGTTTAGGACTTATGCAGTTAACTGAAGATTTTGCATTCTGGTTTACTGGCTGAAGAGAGGCATTGTTAAAATGTAAGTGAATTTATCCTGTGTGTTGAAAATGACAGGATCCCCCTCTCTGCCTTACAGGAAGGTTTCTTGAAGAGATACACTCTTCAGTTCCGAAAAGATTAGCTGCTGCAGCAGTTACAAATTGCCCCATAGGGGTGGGGGGAGCCAACTTCCTGCACAGTTTCTAATAGAGTAACTGGTGCAATAGCTTGTTAAACAGGCTTTGCAGCCCGGACCTTAACAGCCAATAAACAGTTGGGAGAAGCTGTAAGCCATGCTCCTTTCTGGAGGTGTCAGTGTAGCTCCCACACTTGTTTTGCTTGGGATTAGCAGGTCTTGGGTTTAAGGAAGCACTCGCTTCCAGCAGTTACTGGGCAGATCACAGCTCATGTAGATTCTACCCGTGCAGCTCGACTGTAGCTCCAGCACTGTAAAAGGCAGACTTCATGTGAGTGTTACGACAAAGCTGTTTTGCAAGGTCTGTGCCGTTGAGGATGTTTCTTCTACAGCCTCTCAGCCGGGTCTTCCCATTCAGTACCTATGAAATGTGTGGTACAAGAGGGAACAGACCCCGAGGGAATGTCAGAGGGGTTGAAATGCAAGTGTAATCAACCCGGAAAATGAAGTTCTTACACTGCACCTTACTTCAGCGTAATGCTTTTCCAAGGCTGAGGCTACTCACTGCAGACTTACTCCACCGCACTCTTGTAGGCACCTTGGCCTGCGGCAGGTTAAGCCCCCCCAGCTGCTGACACCCACCACTACACACAGAACTGCTGCAGTGCTCAGCTGAGGGGGTCACACACCACAACTCCGGAGTCACAGGAGCAAGCAGGAAGGGGATTCAGCCTCAGAGCTGGAACCTGATGCTGAGGACGGCTCCTGGTTAAGACACAGAAGCTTCTACAGCTATCCCAAACACAGTCGGTGCTCTGATGCTCATTACACTCAAATATGACAGTATTCATAGAGAAACATTTAAGTCAATTTTATTTGAAGCTAAATATATTTAAGGCAACTTACATACCTAGGACATGATCTGGATTTAACTGACACACCCTACTACAATCCTAAAGTATCATCCGGTCAAAGATGCTGTAGGTGACCGCAACGCAGCCAACTATTGAAAAGTGCTGTTTTCTTCTCTCCGGCATAATCTTTCCATAGAAAAAGCATGACATATTTTCGTGTATTGCCCCTCAGCGCAAGACCCCACTGTCTCCATTGCCGCTCTTCTAATGGCCCCTCACCCTCGAGTGTAGGCACCTGCATGCCCCCTACTATTAGCACTGTAATACTGGGTTTGAGTTGGAAGGTCCTTTTTGAAGAGAGAAAAGTGAAGCTACCACTATGCAGCATGTCCACAGTCCAGTAATTTATTTTTCAATTGAGTAATTTCAAATTGCACAAACAAAACTGAACAGCAATATGCTCGAATTCTCTCTTCTGTACACTCAAAACAGTGATCTAAAACACCACAATATCCAACATACACAAACCTCAGGGCAGGGTTAGTAAATACACACATTGGAATCATGGTGCTCTGTTCCTGAATGGAATGTCCCACAAAAGCACAGGATACAGCACAACATAAGGTCATCTGTTACATATGGAGTGAGCAAAAAGACACTAGCGTTTTCTATATGCATAACTGGAAAAACCTGCATAGGTTAAGGAAAACAACCCTTTTACTCATTTTAAGTCAGGCAAGGTTGTCCGTACGCATTTTTAATTCTTTGAGAGCTATGCAATCCAGCCAGGTAGGATATGCTGATTAGTGTTGTCTCTTGTCAGCAGTCTTGCAAGGTCAAATAGGAGTATCTTTGCTTCGGCTTTCTCCAAATATACAGTGACACTTGAATGCATTTAGAATAGACAGTACATACTGTAAAGCTGCTCACATACAATGAACTTAAGATTCAATATTAGAGTTTAACACTATAGAGTGCAAATCAGAATCTTCACAACAGACTTAATGGTAATAAGCAGTCCTGCAAAAGCCCACTTGAACAGAGTTGTTTAAACTATTCCCCTCTTAAAGTAAAGTCTAAATGACATGGAATGTGAAAAAGATTGAACGTGATTCAAATAGTTTGCGCTAGAAAAAACAGTCCTTCATGAAATAAAGGTTACAAGAACACGAGGCAGAACTCTTGCTTTTCCCTGTTATGAGTTAAAGCGGGGAGGGACGGTGGAGTTTCAGTAAGAAAATACGCTAGCTCCAAACGGACCTGTGCTGCACCTTACATGCTGTACCCGAAGCCAGGCTGCGGTTGCCCGTAGGGAGGCGCGGTGTAGCCATAGCCAAAAGGTGCCTGGGGAGGAACGGCGACGCTGGGTCCTGCTGTCAACATGAGCTGTGGCTGACCTGGAAGACACAACGGTTTCACCTTTATTCCTCGGTGTGGAGACTTCAGTCGGCAGAATTCCTGCAACTTCCCTGCAGACATTGGTATGTAGGTCCCTACTGACGGGATTCAGGGTCCCCGGCAGCCAGAGCGGGTATTTCCCCCCCTCGGGCCAACAGAGTACGAGACTAAAACCAGATTGTGGACACTGACAGATCCTTGAAATCAGGGGCAAGTACTTTAAGTTCCTAGAAGTCTGGTGAGGAGAGAGAAGGGAACAGCTTCCTATTCCTTAGGCACTGAGCTCACCCAGTCCTGGAACCAGTCTGGCCTCTGATAGCATTTCCTGCTCCAATGGTGCTAGTGACCCTGCTTCACTGAAGGCCAGAGCCCTACACTGCAGCGAGCCTGATGCAAAGGCTTGACCCCTGCAGCCTGAAAGTCCAGAAACACCTTTAAAACATTCTCATAAGCCACATTCACTACAGTGGAACAGTTCATTCTGGAGAACTACATCTTTGCTAAGTGTCTGCCTCTCAGCTACGAGAACTAGGACAGCCCAATAGTTGGCAGCTCTAACAGCCTGTTAGGCCAGGACACAATTTGCAGACCACTTCAGCCCTACAACTAGCAATTCAAACATACTAAGAATATTAAGTGTACATAAAGACAACCGCTACAAGATTTATTGCTCTGGAGAGAGTGTAGGTCAGATCAGTTATCACAGTGGTACTCAGGGCTAGGTCTTGAAACATCACACCCAGCAGCTTTATGGCTAATACTCCACAACTACTGCACTGCTTCAGGGTGTGGTGGCTCCTTTATCACTGGAATTCGTATTTGTAACTTACTAGAAATAGTGGAATAACCTGGACACAAAGGGAATAACCAATATCGAAGACAGACATGTTGAGCAAGATCCAAACAACACACTTGCTGCAAGTGTGGAATACTGCAGCTCCCACACTGTTTCTTTAGAAAGAGTTTCCTTAATGAGCAGGACAATCTTAAATCCTGCAGTCCATATCCGATCATGGCAGCAGCACTAGAATGGCATTTTATCTAGTATTTTGGAACACATTCCTTCAAGACTTGATTTCACATGAAGAAGGTTCTCATGTCCTTGGGAAAACATGTGACTAGAGATGTTGTTCTAAAAGCACAGTGTGTTACTGACAACACACAAACTAAAGCATTACCATAAACGATAGGTTGTGTTTCTGTAGCTTGCTCCTCTTCCTTTCTCAAGGACTCCGATGCATCCAGTTTATCCACCTGGAATTGAGACCAACAATTAAAAAAGCTCCTCTAGAAGAGGTACTTACTCATGGCAGAGAAGTGGAAAAGCCTTAGTGATATGTTAACACCCATCAAGAAAAGGAGACCATTTACAAGTTAAGATCAATTCAAGTAGCAATGTTGGTACTGGTGCAGTCCAGATTGTCCGTTCCCTGACGAAAACCCCTAATTGAGGGATTTGTGGAACTTCTTTGAAAGCTCACTCCAGGCTGAGGCTTGGTACGAAAGGTCCCGTACTGGACTAGAGCTACTTCAACATCCGTAAGCTCAGTCAGTGTCGCTCCAACTACTTCAAACCAACAGCCTTAGGACACAAGCTCAGATTTTAGCACAATGCCAGTTGGAGACCTTTGGTGTTGGAGCAATTGCTGAGATAATGCCCAGGCCTGGAGAAGTTTCCCTGAATGTAACACTGAGGCAAAGTAATCTGAAGTTGATATTTGTATAGAGCAGACTGCAATAGCATCCGACATGTCACTTGAGCCTCAAGATTTCACTTTCCAAACCCATTCACTCATGCAATTTAAGTTCAAATGCAGAGAATGCATGTGTATAAGATTTGCTTTTTTCCACTCTAGAACTGTGTGGCAGTCAGCCTAAACCCACAATACTCAGCTCGTTCGTGCTCAGTACACAGTGACCAGACAGGACTAGCCAGCTTCACTCTGCTGCACAGCACGTGCAATTGTGCTGTTAGCCCGCCCCTAGAGAAAGGCGAGGGAAGAGACTTGTTCTGTGGTGAAATACTGCTTGGTACTAAGAGACATCCAAGGAAACTCAACGTTACTGCAGTCTAAGGCAGACCCTGAAACTAAAACCACAAAAATTAGGTACTGATATTTTACCTGGGAGATAGGATTTAGAATGAAGTAGAGACAATCCTGTCAGTTACTGTCTTTAAAAGTAAGAAAACTCACCAACCAGACTAGTCTTTCGTTTCATTTGTGTCCTTAACAAAGGAGTTTGAAGACAA